AGATGTTTTTTTTTCTTTGTCCCCCCCCCCCCCCCCCCAAAAAAAAATAAAAAATTCTTAGACTAAACAAGGGATGCTAATGTGTTGACCTAGGATTCTTTTCCTCAGGGCCGCTCTATGAGATGTGTGACGTGGGATTTACTAATCTAAACGTTTATTTTTTTTCTTGATAGGAAAAAGGAATTTATCAAACATTGATTCAGGAAATTATGATATCGATTATAGAGGTCCTGAAACTCATCCTCACATTCCTACATCAAATCGATTGAAGGGACGATAAAATGGTTGCAAATCTAATGGCCTTAGAGCTAGTAAGCCTTGCCAAACTCATGTGAGAAACTCTTCCTTCTACACAACAAGTAGTGTTTCATGTATTTCTGTTAGTGTTCATCTTTTTTATGTTTGATTTAGTATTTGGCTTTGTTGCAGGGGAAGAAAATTCATGGATGAGCTTGTAACAAAGTTTGATTTATTGAGTATTTTTAGGAAATTTGAATACACAATGATGTTTCCTAAACTGCAGAAGTGTATATGTAATGACATATGAAAAGCATTAGAAATATATCATCTGCTATAATTTGTGTAAATGAGGATTGTGGGGTTCTGATTTCTGCAATTACCTTCATTATTAATCAATGAAATTATTAGAATTAGGAATTGTTTAAAGTTGTACCCTTAACGTACCTATTGCTTTATAACCACTAAAAACTTGACCACACGAATGTTTACATCAAATCAATTCATGACACATATTAACACGACCATCCAGACGTGTATGAATCTATAAGAGACAAAAACAACTTCTTCGACAATTATGCAACTCAAGATATATAGCAGTACTAAGCATAAACCTCATATCAGCAAAAAGAAAAACAGAAAACCGATAGTTATTCTAGAAGGAAAAAAGGAAAATCAGTAGCTTCTATGAAAATTTCTCAGTCAGTAGCACAAATAAAGGCAGCAAAAACAGTTTTTGATGTTCTATCTGTTTTGACAAGAAAATGTAACCTTAAGAATTACAATCATCTGATTTTAGAGCTGATGGACATGAATTCAGACACGTTCTTGTCCTCCAGTGTATTAACATCTACTCTCCGGGTGCTGAAACACCTTGCTTCAGTCTTTCCTTCTTCATCTTCTTCTTGGAGATCGGCTTCTTTTTTTTTGGAGGAAGGGTTTTCTGGGCATACACATAAAGGACATAGTTCCCAATAAGGAACGTCAGCACAAGCCCACCAATAAGAAGTAAGACAATCAATCCTGGGTTGAATCCGTTAACTTCGACATCCTTGGCCATGTTTTTCTGCTTAACAAACGATAACAAATATCATTTCAATTTATATACACAGGTATAATTGGGTACAGATCAAAGACTAAACAAAGAGAACACATTCAAATCCCAACTTTGAATTGCTCTGTGATGCAGTCACATGTTAACTTTTATCCAACTTCAGAAGAAACCTTCACATGTTTCCTCGTATTGGGAAAATAATACATTTAGAATACAAACCATTTTTTCAATGGAAGCGTCTACTAGGAAAAAATGATGCATAGCAACATCTACAAAGTAATAACATAACCCATACGACATAATCATGAAAATTTTCAAAGAACAAGTGATAATGAAAAGGGAAAAAAGGATCATATTTGCCCTTCTACTATCTAAAAAGGTTTAGTATTGTCCTCCATTATACTATCGTCCATTTATGTATACTATTGGTCCATATATGGACTTCATGTTATAAAAGTGGCTCAAATTTGTGTCCTTCCCATGTTAACCCCATCCATTTTAGCCAAAATGGCATGCCAACTCGCCAAACCAACCCTTCTTCTTCCACCACTAACTAAAATCACCAACACCTTCATATATATCATCACCACCAACTTACATAATCTACCTTATATATTATTAAGATATTTCTTGTAAATTCACGTATTAATCAAAACTTGTACTTTAATTACGTACTTAATATACAAGTTTTTAATAACACGTGAATTTGCAAGAAATATCTCAATAATGTCTAACGTATATAGTTTATGTTGGTGGTGAAGGTGTTTTGGGTAGAGCTGGAAGAAGAAGGGTTGGCTTGGTAGATGGCATGCAATTTTTGCAAAACGGGATGAGATTAACGTAGGAAGGACAAATTTGAGTCACTTTTATAACATCAAGGGCATATATGGACCAATTGTATAACAAACGCCTTTAAACATTTGGCCACCATATTCTATGTACATGACATTTGACCATTACTGTCATTTGTCAAAACTACTTTGCAATACTGCTACATTTAAGCTGCTCCGCTGGTTTGGTATAGGTAAAAGGAATGTTAAGAACATTTTGTTGCTCCTCTTTTTCTAGTTCACTTTGTATTTCCTCCCTATCCAAACAAGGGAATGTTGTAGAGATATTGAAAAATAATTTAAAAGAGTGAAATCATGCAAGAATTTTATGAAAAACATGGAATAAGTGTAAGCCCCCTTTTCAAGAAACCATATTTCCCCATATGGTGCAAATGGTTAACTGATTTTTTTTCATTTATCCCTAGGATACAATGTCTACTCAAAAAATCAAATTTGCGCTTTTAAATTTCTTCTATCACAATTCACAAGAACTAAACCAATAGAAAGAAGGACTTCCAAAATTATAGTAGATTGAAGGAGGAATAGCAACATTGAAGAAAAATTGGCAGAATGGTGTAAAGAAGAATGTTTCGTTTTTTATAGCAAATTAATTTTCTGGCTGTTACAGAGAACCTACATATAGATATACAGCTTTTGGTTTTCAAATTTTTGAAGCTAGCCAACGGGCATTTGAAAATTCAATCTATAGAGAAGACACTTCAAATTAGTTCTCTTTTGTTCATGTAAGTATTATTTAGAGAGTAACTACCTTTTCTTTTAATTTTCAAAAGTGTCTGTTGGTTGGCTTTCTTTATGTAATATGAACTTTTTGTAGCAACTGAAAATGAAATCAGTCATATAGGAAAGTCATTCTTCTTAATAGCATTCTGTCAATTCTTCATCAAAGTTGAAACTTTTTTCTATTCCTCTTTCTTTGATATTCTACTCCAACTCTAAAGTCTAAACCTCCCTTCTATTGCCATTAGTTTTGGTAGAAGAACAAAATGTCAAAATCAGAGAGTGCAACTTGTACGCCTTGTATCCTGGGATCAAAATTTCCATTTACCACTTGCACCGAGGTGGGAAATTACTATCATAAATACAGATTCCTAGAATGACTTGACTACACTCATTTCATATTTTTCATAAAATTCTCTTACATTATTTCACCCTTTTAGATTAAGACAGATGAAAGAAAAAACACATATCAATGTATCCAATTGATATTGATTTTTTCAACTGCAGATAAACAAACCAACCTTTCGTCATTAATTTTCAGAGGCGAATCACATATTCATAACCAGGATAAAAGAATTAGAGAGACTCCCTTTCTTTTGATATCCCCAATCTTATTGAATTTTGGAAGTCAACTCATTTCATGAGCCTGGTGAAATGACAAACTATGAAGGGGAATTCACATGGATTTAGGAAAGGCCCGCTGTATTGGTGTACAAGCTAAAGACTTTTGAAAAAAAATAATATCTTTGGTCACTTTCATCGTCAAATGGGCTTTTCCCTAAGCTACTCTTTCCAACCCCCAAAATCATAGAGGTACAAGGATGGTAATCAACTTATGTTCTTCCTTTTTAACAAAGGAAACGCTTGTGCACCACTATGTCAAATGGTGGTTTGTCCAGATTTTCATCACCAAATTTCAATAAGCCTGATTCATTAATCTATGCTAATGCGAAAATGTGAGAAAATTAAATGCATAACATCTGCATGTTATGCACTGAAATGTTGAAATCTTTTCGGAATCCAGATCTCATCAAAACAAATAAGCAGCAGTAAAGCACAAAATCAAACCTTCAGAATTCTGTATCACAAAATTGCAATAAATTGAACGAGGCTCTTCAACCCAAAAAAATGAAAATAAGAAATACAAATCTCACAATTCCACGCAAATAAAGAACACTGGAAAACAAAATCAGACCTAAAGAAAATTGCAAAATTGAACGAAGCTCCAATCATAGATCCTCCATCCCAAAAAAACGAAAATAAGCAATACAATTTCACAATTCCGTGCAACAAAAAATGCAGAAAAATATACAAAAAATCAACAATCTGACTCGAACCAAAGCAGATCTGCTAGAAAAAAAGGGGAAAATTGAAAAAAACAAAATACAATGTGAGATTTAGAGGAGCTTACCACGCGATCGGAGGAAGATGATCTATGAATTCAGGTTGTTAGGGGAGTCAGATCTTCAGAAACTCATCGTCACCTAACGCAGATTTTGTCGAGTATGAAACGGAAGGAGAAAAATGGACTTCCGGTCAGGCCTTGCTGCTTAAATACAATGGGTGGGTGCATAACAATAAAGTTTTTCTCTTTCTTCTTTGGGACCCAAAGTCCTCCTTTTGTTAGTTTACACCAAGGAAGTGAGTGCACTAATTATCCTTTTTTTAATATAGTGATAAATAAAAATAAAAAATTATTTTTTAAAATAGTGACAGATAAAAATTAATGAAAGAAGTAATGAACAATGAAATAATTTAGAAATTGATAATTATTTGGCATACCCCAATTTAGGGACGTAATTAGTACCTAGTGTACACTTGATCCTGAGTCGAGCTTTGTTGGACAATTATACTATTCGTTATAAGCGCAATAGAACAAAATAAGTATATTCCGACTTAAAAATAAGTCACCGATCAACAAAATCTCTATCAACATAACTTGCAATATATTCGGTTAATTCCAACAATTCATATAGAATAGAAACTAAATCTTATGTGGACCGTTGAGACTAGTGTTTTAAAAGACTTAGTTGGGACTCGTCTCGGGGTTCACCCTGGGGCGGGGCTCTAGCAAAACGTCCTGAAACTCAAGTGTGGGGCTTAGTTCTATAACACTTACACCATAAGCGTCCGATTGTATGCCCTAAAGCACGTCCAACGCCAAACGTTCGAGGCTGGCTAACAGATCTTACAAAAATAATTATGTGTTAGCATTGTTGGCCCTCATAATTCTTGAATAAATGAACTACTTAATAATAAGATTGAGAGTAACTCAAATAAAAAGTTGTAGTATCACATCTTTACTATTAGGTAACATTGTGAAAGGTGATTATATATTACGTAATATTTCTTTTAAAAATACGTAGCGAAATTTTACTTTTTCACTAATCATTGGTCTTCATGATTTTGTCATATGTCTTAAAATTAACATATTTTATTTAGCTATTTGGAAGTAATTTTATTTTTATTCATGAGTGTGTTTTTATTATAATACTAGTAAGTTTTATTGATTATTTTCTTTTAAGGGGTAAATTGGATAGTATGATAAAAAAACATTTTTAGAAATAGTGATTCTTTTATTAGTAGAAAGTTAAGATATTAGATTATTTATACTTGTATAATCATGTTAGAAGTTTTAATTTCTATGTGTTTCTTTAATCATGTTTGTAGTTATTTCAAACTTTAGATGTATTTTTATAATTTTGTGTTATTATATTATTATACTATATTGTAATTAAAAATTTAAAGATTCATAGGGGTTACGCTCCACGTCTCGAGACTTACGTCTCACTTTATGCTAAGTAAAACACCCCGCCTCACGCTCCTGCCATTTAAAACAATAGTTGAGACAGTCGTGATATCTATAATCAAGTAATGTTATGCGGGCCATTGAGATCATAATGGTATCTAGAAACATATAAATTTATAAATCGAACATATATAATATATCGTATACGATCAAGGCCAACACGTCACTGTCTAAAAAGGAAAAACATCAAAACCAACACAATTGACATCACATCTTTACAACTCAAAATATGCAAGCCTCTAAGAATAAAATACTTGGCTGAGATAGGGTTGTCACCTATTTATCAGTTATAAATAACAAAAAGACTAACAAACATCTGAATGTGACATTTCTAAAAGAAGTAAAGTTGATCAATCTACCAAAACTCGACCAAAGTACTGAAGTAGCATGTGTTCTTGTCTATCGGGATCTGCATGCAAGAACGCAACACCTTCAAATTATGCGTGTATGTACAAAACAATGTATCAAATATGAAAGGTAATTGAAAAACTGAGCATGAATCATTATGTGCTAAAAGTAAATCATGTAAGAGAGTGAGTAACAAACTTATCGTACCAAACTGCTTCTAAATCTAGAAAACAAACACTAATCATACATCAACCTATTCGAACCCCATAAACTCGTAAGTTCAAGCAACAAACAGTACAATTTATTGTGTCCCCCTAAAAGTCCGGTAGGTACAATTCAATTTATATACTCTATTGGTAGTACTCTAACTCTGTAGGCAATTACTATTTCACAATAGCGCCTTGGGCGCGCTGTATATTTAAAGGAAAAATTATTGAAATACACGTCTTATGTTTCCCTTATTTCTAATATTCCCTTCTATTTCTAAAAACCTCTAAAATCCCTTATTTCTCTCCTAATTCTAAATTATTTTATAATGTATCCGAGCTACATATTATGTATCCGGTTTATTTTACTTTTTCAGGAATTAATGTAATTACAAACTAAATAGGAATAGATTGTAGTTTCATATTAAAACTATGTGATTCCTAAAATTTATACATATTTAGACAATTTGTGTAGCGCAATAGCCTCTTAGGCAATTTGTATTTAGCCCAAAGGTAATTACTATCTTCCAATATTTTCTTAAACATTAATATAGCCCCGTAAACGTCAATACAAGCCCATATGAAATAAGTATAACCCGTAATGATGTACATGTCTCAATTTCATTAGACAATCTACACATTGCTCTGAAGGCAAAAATCATATTAATTCCTATAAGTAACCACAATAGCTTTGAGGGCAACAACAAATAATCAAATAGCCCGAGAACAAATAATATGGCGTCGCTAACTATATGATACAAATTTTAACGAGCGATGTTTATATCAACCACAATAGCTAATCTAATCGATTAAGGCAACGAGTAATGAATCTTGCCGAAATAATGGAATAACCTTAACAAAAAAAATTTGTCGAATTCATGTGGGAATCTTACTTCTGCATGCACTCATATGACACTATAATCGGTATAATATCAATCAATCAATGAGAAGGAAAAATACTACGATAATTCGACAATCGATATGAATTTTTGCTATAAATTACTATATGCGGCTTATCGAAGCTAGAGTCCACAAAAGGAGGGTCTTGCCTTGATCTTTATATCGAAATATATGTGAAATCTCACAACACAGTCAAACTCTTGTTGCCCTAATACCAACGGAGATATGCTACAAAATTAATGGGACAAAATTATACCATGACGACAAGCTCAACACGTGGAACAACTTCTGTCAAAAATTTAGATCCAAGAAAAAATCAACAAGCAAAGGTGAGATTCTAAGGTTTTTCCTACGATTCAAAGTGTAAAAAATGAGAAAAATAACAAAGAAATTGTTTTAAAAGTTTCCTTTGATATGGGGTTTAGTCACATGTTTGCTTGCGTAATCTCGCAAAAACACAAATATATCTTTATTGTGAAGTTGTATTGACAAATGATTTAGGGGTCGTTTGGTGTGATGGATAAGAGAAGTTAATTTCGAGATAACTTTTGAGTGACCTTTAATTCGTTGTTTGGTTGCAAAGGTTGTGATAACTTATCCCAGGATTAATAATTAGTCCTGGGATAAGTTATCCCTCATTGGGGGATGAATAGTAATCCTAGAATAAGTTATACTGGGATAAAATATGTAAAATAAATAAATACCCCTTTAAACTCTATTTTATACACCACTTTTATATTTATGCATATTAATATAATTTGAGGAAAGACTCAAAATAGTCCCTCATCTTTGGGTTAAGGCTCAAAGTCATCCTTGAGTTTTCACATGGAGCACTAATAGTCCCTCATGTTTGCAATATTGGTGCACTTTTGGTCCACTTAAAATTTTTTGCCTATTTTTTAACATTAATTTTGTCCACAATTTTATGTAAGGAATGTCCAATCGTCTTTTTATATATTTAGTAGAAATAATAACTCTATGTGAGAGAAGGTGATAAGAAGAACACATTGTTTTTTCTAGTAGAAATATTACTGCAGCTAAGCTAAGAACATCTTAACATATGACGTTGGAAGAAAAGAAAAAAATTTGTACTATTGCACGTGAAATTATCGTGATGAACCTCTTGACTTTACCTGCAATACAATTTCTACTAAACAAAACAAGATGCTTTTCTTCTCACATTCTCTCATATGGAGTTATTATTTCTACTTAATATATAAAATGACAACTGAACATATCATACATAAGTTATGGATAAAATCAATGTTAAAAAACAGGCAAAATTATGGAGGAGGACCAAAAGTGCACCAATATTGCAAACATGAGGGACTATTAGTGCTCCATGTGAAAATTCAAGGATGACTTTGAGCCTTAACCCAAATGTCACGCCCCGAGCTACCCCCGAGATGCGGACACGGGACCTAGGACCACAAGTGATCCCAAGCTAACCCTGCTGACATGATCATGAGCATACTAAAGATAATAAACTGATGCGAAAGCTAAATCATAAATAAATCTGAAAAGATGGGGAATACCCATATACTATAACTGGATATATCAAATCGTTGAGTTTAATACAAAAGGAATATCAAACTTAAAATACTAAGCTGAGTCTAACTATGTCTGAAATAAGCCTCTAAACTGACTAGAAATGTTGGGACATGCCCCAACTAGATATAGCAAAAACTGAAACTAAAGACTAAAAGCGATAAAGATAAACATGTCACTAGTCCTCGAAGAATGAGGACTCACCACTGATGCTGCTGAACTGAAGATCGAGAATCGATCTAAGCGTGATCTGGATGCTGAGAACCTGAACCTACATCACGAGAAGATGTAGCGCACGTATGCGTCAGTACTTGAAAGGTACTGAGCATGCAGGATAGAGTAAAGCTGAAATAACATATAACTGAACAAAGCAATAAAGCAATGAAATAATCTGAACATGATATAGATACTGAAAAGACTGAATACTGAGCTAACTGATGCAATGACCAAATTTATAACATGCTGAGACTGAATACTGACTGTACTGAAATATGGTCAATGCAATAGAGTCTGACTGAACTGTGGGAGCTACTAATAACCGACATAAAACCACATGAGCTAAATGTGGAGTCCGATGTATACGCCCCATCGAGAGGACCCAATACACCCGGCCAAAGGTGTAGAGGCATGCTGACGTGATCACCAAACTGATGTTGCCCACAGAGGGGACTTACACCTACGTGGCTCGTAGTTCTGGGACTATATGGGTACGCTGAAACCCTAGTCCAACTCGGTATTATGCTACTCCCAATGAATCAAGTGGTTAACTGGTTATGACTGAATCTCTGTAA